CAGCAGCTCGAGGGTGAAGGCAAAACAGTCTGACCGACTGCGACCGTGAGCACGTGGCCCGGTTGGCCAAACAGAGAAGGACATGACGAGATGCATTGACTCACAGCAACGGGGTACGTCGACTAGCGCAGAGGAAAAAAGGCAAGGAATGAGGGGCCAGTCTGGCTCGGATTGACAGAGGTAGGCAAGGCAAGCACAAGACTGTGGAGGAAGACCGTGCAATAGGAAAAGCAAGGACAAGCAGTGTCAGGGACGTGCTACTAAAACTAGTACTAGCTGGCATGACGAGTCTCTTCATCGACTGCTAGGCTTCAGTACACGTGTTCATGCGGAGTGGATGAGTTAAATTGTCCATGTCTGCGGTTTGGAATAGAATTTAATTAACTTTGTATTAATATTAATTGATTGATTCATTGACCAAAGTCCACAGTCAATTTGACGTCATCGTTTCAAGGACACTAAGCTATATATAGTGTTTGTGCTAGTTCAAATAGGACGGACGCACGGAGGTTCTGCCATTCATGTATAAAGATTAATATTTTTTTAATCAATCAAGCAGCGACGCAACTACTTGCCTCGCTCCTACTTTTTCAGAGAAGCAGAGGCAAAGGCCGGGAGATTAAAAGGAAACAGAGGCGAGGAGGAAAATGTCTGCTGCAGCAGTGAAAGCTTGGCCGCTCGTGCTGTAAAGTGCGTTGGCTTGTGAACACGAGGAGCAGAGGTGGATCAGAGCAGAGCCGAGTAAAAAGCAGCAGCTGCAGCATTCTGGCCAGCCCTCATTAAGACACTCACCGACAAAAGGACGCAAGAGAGAAGGGACAACGCGAGACAAGGCATGAATGGTCAGCGGTACTTTCGTTATTATTTTAAATGCAACCAAAAATCATACTCCGAATGTTTACTTAAGTACTATATATCAGTCGTATCGTATTTTGTTCGTGTTTGATCAATTAAACACGTCGTTCGCTATTTATTTGCTAGAATCATTATCGGATATTTTTAAATATTTCTACGCGCTGCGTAATTTATCTTGAGCGTTTATTTGAGTCCACAAAACTAAATCACATAGGATTCGTTTATCGGCTCAAGTACGCTTTAAATCAAAAATCCAAGAAACTCGTTTCGAAAATTTTACTTAGGCCTAAATCGCGATGCTAAACAAGCTCGTAACATCAGGGGTGTTACAGTTTATGTAATGTGAGAGTCAAGTTTTGTGACCATTTCCACTCCACATATAAATGCTCACAAAATTTGACCCTCCCTTGTGCTACTAATGTCTTCCTTTTCGGTATTTGATTTCAAAGGGGGAGAAATTGTAGGACCAAAAGCAAGCCCAACTCAAACCAAATCCACAACTTCAAATTTTATAATTTTCAAGTGGTACCTTGATTCAAGTGAAAGCATCCATTTGGTATCAAGCATACAAGTGGTTTGGTCATGAGAAGATCAAAGGGGGAGAACCTCATTTGGGAATGGTCTGAGAAAGGGAGGAAAGTGGATTATGGAGTTAGAGGGAGGCTTAAGTCCATAATACCACATGGGGACATAGCAAGGGCAAGCTAAGTTTTCATGATTTTTCTACAAGTGTTATCTTCTTAGCATCATATAAACTTGCATTTGCATTGCACCCTAGAAAGTAGATAGGTTTTTATTTTGGTGAGTATTATTATTTGCTTGTTTTGGTCGTGTTGTCATCAATCACCAAAAAGGGGAAGATTGTAAGGAAAATGGACCATTGGCCCATTTAGTTTGGATTTTGGTGTTTGATGATCAACAAGACCAAATTGGACTAATGGATTTGCAAGTGTTTATTTTTTAGTTCAATAGGGTGCAAACGTGACTTGGACGAAGGCGATGTAATGGTTAGACGATCAACACCTCAAGCAAAGACCTTAGAAGCATAATAGAAGACCCAAAATATCAAGCAAAGTTCAAGCATGGAAGATGGAACCAAGACGGACGCAAAAGCGGCAAAGAAATGAAGTTCAAGGTACTCCGGACTTTGTGAACAGTAGCTCCAGACCCACGAATAGTAACCGTCCAGACCAATGTGCACCAATCCGGTTGCTAGGGTATGCATCAGGGAGCTCCTGACACTGTGAACAGTAGCCATCTGGACCAATGAACAGTGTCCAGACCAAATGAACAACTGCTCCGGACCATGAACAGTGCCATCGGGGCTATCGATCAGCTCGGTCCAGAGGCATCCAGAGAGCGCACGAGGGTCCGTACTGAGGGTCCGGACCATGCAGCAATGGTTCGGAGTGAGGCCCCACCTATCAGCTTCACAGCGCGCGCAACGGTCGGTTTAAACGGTCGTCTGTCAGTGACCATTGGAGGGCTCCGGACTAATGAACAGTACCATCAGGACCAATAAACAGTAGAGTCCGGAGGTGCGCTAAGATGCCCTCCAAGGTTCCCAATGGCTCTATTTATTTGGGGACTTATAAGTAGGGCCATGGCCGGCCAAAACAACTGAGTTGGAGTGTGCCAAACATAGGGGAGTGTTGAGACTTACCACCAAGTGCTCCAATCACCAAAGTGCTTAGGGAAATGTTCGGCGATTAGCGTAGGTGCTTTGCAAAGTGCTTAGGTTAGTTAGACCACCACTTTGTGCTTGCTCTAGGTGTTAGGCCTAGTGTTTAGGGAGGTTTGCACACCTCTTATCGCTTGGTGCTTGTGTGCACCATTGTTGAACTTGGCGGGGCTTGTAAGTCTTACGAGACCACACCAACTGCGTTTGTGGTGTGGCCGCCACCTTATACGGAGGGAACAAGGCATACGGCGGTTCAACCGGAAGCTTGATAGTGAAGACGACAGGGAGCGTTCCGGGAGAGGCTTGCCAGAAGGTACACCGGAGACCCACTTGCGCGTGGGGAAGGCCCGGGGCTATCCACGGAGTTACCCGACCGGGAGCTTGGCCCTTGCGAGGGATTCCTTGCGAGGGGCTCCAACAAGGACTAGGGAGAAGCTTGCATGCTTCTTGATACCTTGGTAAAAATATCAGAGTCATCAACGGGAGTTTGCATCTCTACCTTGCTCTTTTGCTTCCGCATTTACATTGTGTACCTTGGTTGTGTGATTACTTACCTAGCTTAGTTTGATAGGTTAGTTGATAGGATTGGAACCTATGGTGCATAACTTGTTTACGGTAGAGATAGCAACACACCTAGCAAAACTATAGTTGCATATTTAGATAGTTTACTTTCTTACATAGGTTTTGACTAAGTAGAAATTAGAGGCTATAGTTAGAAGTAGAATTTTAAGTTGCTTAATTCACCTCCTTTAGGCGTCACGGTCCCTTGAGGAGGTTTAAACGAGGCTGATAAAGGTAAACGTGAAAGGAAGAAGGTATCTCACTTAAAGTTTGGTATGTTAAGTAAAGCCGAAGGCACCAGTCCAGAAAAAAAGAAAGTATAAGAGCAGAAAAGCTGTTTACATACCAATCCAAATCTGGTAAACTATTGAGTGAATCAAAAGGGTCTCATAGGACATTCAACAAACATGACTTATTAAGTTGTTTTATATAGCATAATTAAGTTGATCTCCCATCAAAGTACTTTTGCTAGCGTAAGTGATTGCATGATGCTTCTTATCCTTGGTTTGGCCAAGAATGGCCCCAACGACATAGTCACTAGCATCACACATGATTTAGTATAATTACTCCATTCGGTCTAGTTTATAAGGCATAGTCAAATATGGCATGGTCGTCCTAGTTACAAGTTGGTCATTCATTTATTCTATATTATAATTTTTATGATTATAAAATTATGATCACCGGATAGTATATTTGATTATGAATTTGTATTACAATAGTGAAATTATTCACCAAACTATTGGTCAAAGATTATGAAATTTAAATCTTGTTGTGTGTTCGCCTTATAAATTAGACTGGAGAGAGTTTTTATTTATTGGTCAGATGTATTAAACAATAATTAGTCCTGTGCGAGAGCATGAGTTGACGACAGACTAGTGTATATATCTAACTGACGAAACCTCCTTCCTCAAGATACTTCCTCCGTCCCGATTTAACTGTCGTTTTCGGTTTTCGTGCTACAAGTTTGACTCGATTTGTAGAAAATACTAGCAACATTTGTATCTCCAAATAAATTTATTAAAAAACTAGATTCAAAGATCTTTCCGATGATACTAATTATATACTATAAATAATAATATTTTTAATATATATTTTATTAAAATTGTTTCTCAGGAAGTGAGAACGACAGATATTCTGGGACGGAGGGAGTATACAACAATAGAGATAAAACAGCTCCGATAGTAGTATCATTTGTTTATGTCATCTGACAGGGCACTAATGGTTTCGTTGACCACCTGGATGCACTCGCCCATCGGACTAGTACTAGTAGTATCCAGTTTCCCTGCAATGAACGTGAGCTTGGAGACCATGGCGGTGACGGCGGCGATGGTGGCCCTGTTGTAGCTGGCGTTGATGGGCGTGGCGTACGGGAGCAGGAGCTCGTAGCACATCCTGGAGTCGTTCGGTCGTCCTTGTTGGTGTAAGCCTGCTGATGGACGATGTGGAGCAGCGTGGAGGCAACCGTGATGCAGCAAGGTGTTTGAATTTGATTTCAGCCTGGAGCGGGAACGGTTGACACGGCAAGGTGGTGACCGCACCCACTGAGTCAGTTTCAGCAGGAGCGTGTGTTTGTGGTGAGTTTGTATCCCGTGTTTAAAGTTTGTAAGGGTGTTATCGTCTTTATTAGCTTGTGGTATAAATAGCTGGTTGTAACAGGAGCGGGCGCCTCTGTTGAGTTGTAACTCGTGTTGTACTCGAACTTGTGTTGAGTGAAAAGGGCACTTTATCATCCTGCTGGCGCTTTGCCGCTTTAGGGTGTGTTCATGTGTGTTCTTGCTCGTTTGCGTGCGCGATCTTGATTTAGGCATAGCCACCGTGTAAATTTGTGTGTGATTGATTGATCCTGGCCATCATTTGGTATCAGAGCAGATCGATCGCATACAAACGCGTTGAGTGATCAACCATGGGAGATCGCGGGAGTGGTGGCGGAGGAGAAGGCGGTGGCCGGATCCAGTACCCGTCCCTGACCTCTACCAACTACACTAGTTGGAGTATCAGGGTTCAGGCGATCATGGAAGATCAGGGCGTGTGGGAGGTGGTTGAGCCGGCGGGGGAATCGTCGGATCAAGGCGCAGCGGCGAGGAAGGTGAAGGACACCAAGGCACGGGCGCATCTGCTCCAGTGCCTGCCCGATGACTTGCTGATGCAGGTCGCCACGAAGAAGACCAAGAAGGAGGTTTGGGACTCGCTCAAGGTGAGATTCGTGGGGGAGGAGCGTGTCAAGGAGGCGAGATTGCAGACGCTGAAGAGCGAGTTTGATGGATTGAGGATGAAGGATGATGAATCGATTGATTATGCGAGAAAAGCCGGCGAGTATGTCAGTGAGATATGCTAACTTGGGTGGATCGCTGGATGATGCAGCGTTGGTGAAGAAGATGTTCGACACCACGCCGGAGAAGTACATCCATGTGATCGCCGGGATCGAGCAGTTCTTTGACCTCAAGAAGATCGCCGACGAAAGCCGCCGGTCGGCTCAAGGCATTTGAGGAGAGGACCAAGCGGGGAGCGGAGGTTCTCGGTCGAGCCCCCGCCAGTCTTCTTGACACAAAAAGTGAGTGGGAGGCTCGGCAAAAGAAGTCCACTGGAGAGGGATCTGGTGGTGGAAGGAATCATGGCAGTGGCCGTGGACGGGGTCATGGCCGTGGCGGTGGAAGCAGTGGGCGCGGCAGTCATGGCGATGGTGGCAGATATGGCGCGGGGAAGCGTGACAAAAGCCACATCAAGTGTTTTAAGTGCCACACCTATGGACACTATGCCAACAGGTGTCCAGGAGGTGGTGAGAAGAAGAAAGAAGAGGAGGCACATCATGTCAAGAAGGTGGAGTATGAGCCTACAGTTTTGCTTGCTGAAACGGAGGAACCAGGACAGCTCAAGCATCTGTTGTCGGAAAACAGTCAGCCTCAGGGAGTGTGTTGTCTGAATGATGGTGAACAGTGTATGCAGGAGGAACTGTGTCTGAATGAGATTCATCTCGATTCAGAGTTGCTGTTTGCAGGTGCTGACAAGTCATGTGGTGATCTCTGGTACCTTGATAATGGTGCTAGCAACCATATGACAGGGGATCGTCAGAAATTCGGGAACATTGACACCACCATCGGTGGCAAGGTACGTTTTGGTGATGGCTCAGCAGTTGAGATACATGGTAGAGGTTCCATTTTATTTCAAGGCAATGCTGGTGATCAATGGTTACTTAGTGATGTATACTTCATTCCTAAACTCAAAAGTAATCTCATTAGTTTGGGTCAGTTAACTGAAATTGGCTATAGAATAGAGATGGATGAGAATTTGATAGAAGTAACAGAGAAGAGTACCATGAGAACCATAATGAGAGGGCAGAGGTCTGAGAATAGGTTGTACAAAATTGAACTAAAGACTATGGAACCAGTGTCCTTTCTAGCTAAAGTAGATGATCAATCTTGGCTTTGGCATGGTAGATTGGGCCATGTAAACTTTGAGTCCATTAAGATGTTGGTTCAAAAAGAGATGGCAGGGGGTTTACCTTTGATCAAGCATCTAGATCAAGTTTGCCATTCTTGTTTAGCTGCAAAGCAGACTAGAACATCATTTCCAAAATGCTCAAGATGGAGATCAGATGAACCATTAGAACTGATTCATGTTGATTTGTGTGGTCCTATTACTCCTGAAACTGTTGGTGATAATAAGTATTTCATGCTGTTAGTAGATGATTGTAATAGATGGATGTCAGTCTCAATTCTGAAATCTAAGGATCAAGCTTGTTCTGCATTTGTCAAGTTTAAGGCAGAAGCAGAAAATTCTTTGGGTTACAAAATTAAAATGGTGAGATCTGATAGAGGTGGTGAGTTTTTAGCAACAGCTTTTAGGGATGTTTGTGAAGCTGCTGGAATCAAAAGGCAATTCATAGCACCCTACTTACCACAGCAGAATGGTGTGGTTGAGAGAAGAAACAGGACTGTCATGGAGATGGCTAGGTCTATACTGAAGGGCATGAGTGTACCAGGGTGTTTTTGGGGAGAAGTTGTAAGGCACTCTGTGCATTTACTTAACAGGTTGCCAACAAAGGTTATGGGGTATAGAACACCATTTGAGGGATGGTGTGGGAGGAAACCACAACTTGGGCATATGAGAGTGTTTGGGTGCAGAGCTAATGTGAGGCCAGCAGTGCCTCATCTGAAGAAATTGGATGACAGGAGTGTTGGCATGGTTTATTTTGGTGTGGAGGAGGGCAGTAAAGCACATAGACTGTATAATCCTCAAACCAAGAAAATAGTAGTCAGCAGGGATGTCATCTTTGAAGAAGCAGTAGCTTGGAATTGGAATTCAGAGTTTGGTGAAAACTCAGAATTTATTGTTGAAGAAAATGATGAAAACATGTTTCAACCAAGGACTAGAGGATAGTTTGGTGGTGGTCATGTTGATGGAGATAATCACAGTGATCATCATTCAGGGGGAGCTGATGATGGTCACCAGTTTGATGCACCTAGTGGAAACAACTTTGATGGTGCAACTAAAAATTCAAGTGGAGTGGGAGAGAACTCACATTTAGGTTCTGTTCACAGTCAGGCAACAGGAGCAACAGCATCAGAAAGTGCAGAGACAGGAGATGTACCTGCTGAGATGGATGTTGATGGCACTGTGGATATTGATGATGGACCTGTGAGATTTAGAAACTTGAATGAAGTATATCAGGGTTCAGTGGAAGTAGAACTGAATTATGACAGTGAAGTAGAAGCACTGATGGCAGTCATGGAGGAACCAACTTGCTACTAGGAGGCAGCTGGTGATGGGAACTGGATAGAGGCCATGGAGAGTGAGATTCAGTCCATCAATAAGAACAAAACAAGGGAGTTGGTGAAATTACCAGCTGGTCACAAACCTATAGGCTTGAAATGGGTGTTTAAATTGAAAAGAAATGCAGAAGGAGAGGTGGTGAAGTACAAAGCCAGACTTGTTGCTAAGGGCTATGTTCAGAACAAGGGAATAGACTATGAAGAAGTCTTTGCACCTGTTGCAAGGCTAGAAACAGTCAGACTGATATTGGCTATGGCAGCAAACAAAGGGTGGGAAGTACATCACCTTGATGTGAAAACTCCATTCTTGAATGGTGAGCTCATAGAAGATGTGTATGTAACACAACCTAAAGGTTTTGTGAAGGAGGGGCAAGAGCAGATGGTGTTTAAGCTGAGAAAAGCTTTATATGGTTTGAAACAAGCTCCTAGAGCTTGGAATGTAAAGTTGGATAGCAGCTTGAAGAAGCTTGGGTTCTAGAAGTGTGTGACAGAGCCAAAGAATGTATACTAGAGGCAAGGGACTGTCCAAAGTAATTCTTGGTGTGTATGTAGATGACCTTATTGTAACTGGTGGTGATCCAAGAGAGATTGGAGTCTTTAAACAAAGCAGATGACTTCTGAGTTTGAGATGAGTGACTTGGGGATGCTGTCATTCTATCTTGGAATAGAGGTTGAGCAGAGAAAAGACTACATCACCATAAAATGACAGGTTATGCCAAGAAGGTGCTTGATCAGTTTGGAATGGCTTATTGTAATGTAGCAAAGTTCCCTATGGATCCTGGTGCAAAGCTGGATGCAGATAAGCAAGGGGAGAGGACAGATGCAACTAGATACAGGAGAATCATTGGATGCCTGAGATATTTGTTGCACTCTAGGCCTGACCTATCTTTCTCTGTTGGTGTGGCAAGTAGGTTTATGGAAAAACCTACTGTCAAGCATTTCAATGCAGTGAAGCAAATCCTGAGGTACTTGAAGGGGACACTGAACTTTGGTTTGGTGTACACTCAGGAGATGAAGCAGGAGGTGTTGGTGGGTTACAGTAACAGTGATAGTGGAGGAGATGTTGTGGGGAGGAGAAGTACAGGTGGCATGGCTTTCTATCTCAATGATGCATTGATCACCTGGAATTCCCACAAGGAGAAGATAGTAGCACTGTCATCCTGTGAAGCTGAATTCATGGCAACAACTGTAGCTGCCAAGCAAGCTTTGTGGCTTAGAAATCTGTTGGGAGAAATCACAGTAACAGAACCAAGGGCAGTGACTTTGTTTGTGGATAACAACTCAGCCATTGCATTGATGAAGAACCCTGTGTTTCATGGCCACAGCAAACACATAGATGTTAAGTTTCACTTCATCAGAGAATGTGTAGAGCATGGCCAAATCAATGTGAAGAAGGTGAACACTCTTGATTAGAAAGCAGATGCACTGACAAAGTCTATGTCTGCAATCAAAATATCTGTGATGAGACACTTGCTCGGTGTCCGAGAAATTGAGAATCAGCAGACTTAAAGGGGAGATTGTTGGTGTAAGCCTGCTGATGGACGATGTGGAGCAGCGTGGACGCAACCATGATGCAGCAAGGTATTTAAGTTTGATTTCAGCCTGGAGCGGGAACGGTTGACACGGCAAGGTGGTGACCGCACCCACGGAGTCAGTTTCAGCAGGAGCATGTGTTTGTGGTGAGTTTGTATCCTGTGTTTAAAGTTTGTAAGGGTGTTATCGTCTTTATTAGCTTGTGGTATAAATAGCTGGTTGTAAGAGGAGCGGGTTAGCGCCTCTGTTGAGTTGTAACTTGTGTTGTACTCGAACTTGTGTTGAGTGAAAAGGGGCACTGTCATCCCTGTTGACAGTTGCCAGTTTAGGGGTGCGTTCATGTGTGTTCTTGCTCATTTGCGTGCGCGATCTTGATCTAGGCATAGCCACCGTGTAAATTTGTGTGTGATTGATTGATCCTGGCCATCAGTCCTGCACTACATTGGTTGCAGCGGGCGTGGACGAAATCCTGTGCCGCGGGAGAGGTGGGTAGGTTCTCCACTAGTGGCTTTGCTGGTCCTACGTCGACGGCGGTAGGCGGCTGCCCATGCATGGAGATGCTGCAGCGGCAAAGATGGAGGCCACCTAATCTACTGCTACCTTGGGTAAACACAGCAAGGGAAGCCGGCGCCGAACTGGCCCCCTGTTGTGATACTGTAGCCGTTGCAGGTGCAGGCACCGCACGGCTCACCTACAGCACTGTAGAAAAATGCAGTGGCCGGCGTAGAGTCAGCCATGTTAGGGTTATCTACTTACTGTTACAGCATATGCGCTGTACTAGGACTAGATGGATATAGTTGTATAAATAGACATACACGGCAACTCAATAAAGAGAGTTTAGATTTGCCATCTCACAGACAAGGCTTCGGCCAACGCTGGTGTCTTATATTGTGCGTACTTGCTCTGTTCTCCCTTCTTCTTCTAGCTCCAGCCATAGTGTGTGGGGACGGACAACGCCGATGCGTGGTCGGCACGGCTAGTGGGTGCTCGGCAACACTAGCGGGTGCTCGACAAGACTGGTGAGTGGTTCACACACCTGAGCTGATGATCCTGTGGACCAACAAGTGGTATCAGAGCCGTACAAGCGTCGTCGCCAGACTAACCGCTGGCGATGACGGGCAGTTCCGAGATGGGCGACAGCAGGGGCACTATTGTGGCTGCCCAGCCACGACCGGAGGTCGTTGTTCGCACGGTGCAGGAGGTCAGCGGCACCAATTGGCCGACGTTGACTCGCACCAACTATGGAGAGTGGTCGGTGACCATGAAGGTCAAGCTCAGAGCCCGACGGCTCTGGAATGCTGTTAACAAGGGCACCGACATTGAAGAAGATGACATGTCAATGTTGGAGGCTATTCTCGCTGCTATACCGGTGGAGTACAAGGAGCCGTTGGGGCGAAGATCTCGGCTAAGGAGGCGTGGGAGGCTATTGTGGCGATGCGCGTCGGTTCCGACCGCGCAAAGAAGGCGACGGCCCAGCTTCTGAAGCAGGAGTACACCAACCTCAAGTTCAAGGATGGTGAAACGGTGGAGGACTTCTCCTCCGCTCCATATGCTCATCGACAAGCTGAATAGCCACGCAGCGTCACCATCGACGAAGAGGAGGCGCGGTCTCAAGTACCTCCACTCCGTCTTGACAAAAGTACATCCAGATCGTTCTCTCCATAGAGATGATCTTTGGACTTGTCCACCCTCTCCCTTGAGGATGTGACAGTAAAATCTGTGGGCGGTAGACGGCGCTGGAGCGGCGATAGCAACGGCGACGGCGGAAACTCCTGCTGATGGAAGAGGAGTGGGCTGCTCGGAGGAACTCCGGGAAGGCAGCCTCCTCCAGCCGCGGTGGCGATGGCAAGCACCGCGGCAAGGCTTCTTCAGAGAAGAAGCAGGTCGACCCCAACGCTTGCTGGCGTTGCGGGAAGATGGGCCATTGGGCACGGGAGTGCGCAAAACCGCAAGTAGGAAAAGAAGGCTCAGGCTCATCTAGCGCAAGCCGATGATGAGGATGAGGCCACTATCCTAATGGCGATGTTCTGTGCACTGCACGACGTTGAGGCCGAGGAGAGGAAAGAGGCGACGATGGTGGAAGGACCTGCAAAGGCCCTGAAGACCGTCAACCTCGATGAACCACACGCCCAAGTCCACCTCGGGCATGTGGGCGCCGACCAGGAGCAGTGGTGGTATCTGGACTCCGGTGCCAGCAACCACATGATGGGCTCCAAGGCATCATTCTCCGAGCTCGACGGCGATGTTACCAGTACGGTGAAGTTTGCTGATGGCTCAAGGGTGGCTATCCAAGGGCGGGGCACCATCATCTTCAGGTGCCAGAACGGGGAGCACCGCGCGCTAACGGATGTATATTACATCCTGCAATTTGCGTTCTTGCATCATCGACATTAGTCACCGGATGGCCTTGATGGCGAGTACTTGATCAAGGATGGAGTCCTTAGGATCAGGGACCGGGAGCAGCGACTTCTTGCCAAGGTGAAGAGGTCCCTGAACTGGTTGTACCTGCTTGACCTGAAGGTAGAGCAGTCGGTGTGTCTGGCGGCAAGGCACTCCGAGGAACCATGGATGTGGCATGCCTGGTTCGGACATCTCAGCTTCGACGTGCTTGGTCGGCTGGAGAAGATGGTCTGAGGGCTACCCCACATCAAGCATGGAGGCGAGCTATGTGACAGCTGCCTGGCCGGGAAGCAGAGGAGGCTACCTTTCCCAAAGGCGGCCAAGTATCGCATGGAGGAAGCTCTTGAGCTCGTCCACGGCGACCTCTGCGGGCCGATCATGCCTGCTACATGCGGTGGTCGGCGGTACTTCCTCCTACTCGTGGATGATTGCAGTCGCTACATGTGACTGCAACTCCTAACAAGCAAGGACGAAGCGGCGGCGGCGATCAAGAAGTTCAAGACACGCGTGGAGGCCGAGAGCGGCAAGAAGCCCCTCGTGCTGAGGACTGATCGCGGTGGTGAATTCACTTCGGTGCAGTTCGCTGCGTACTGCGCGGATCAGGGTGTGGGGCAACACCACACCGCGCCATACTCGCCACAATAGAATGGTGTGGTGGAGCGACGAAACCAGACGGTGGTCGACATGGCCCGATCCATGATGAAGGCCAAAGGCATGCCGGCAAGGTTCTAGGGGGAGGCGGTGACCACTGCGGTGTTCATCCTCAACTGTGCTCTAACCAAGGCCCTGACGGGCAAGACGCTTTTCGAAGCTTGGTATGGGTGCAAGCCGAGCGTGTCCTTCCTCCGGACATTCGGTTTGCATCGGCCATGTCAGGAAGACGAAGTTGAACCTCACCAAGCTGGAGGACAGGAGCACACCAATGGTGTTCCTGGGCTACGCGGAGGGTACCAAGGCATATCGGCTCTACGACCCACGTGGAGACAAGGTGCTTGTCTCGCATGACATCATGTTCAACGAGAAGGCGGCTTGGGACTAGAGCAGTCC